CTCACTTGGTGGCTTTATTCGGTGGTTATAGCAACTGACAAGGCTTTATCACACCATATTCACTTCGGGGCGGGACATTAACCCTTAAATCATGTTCCATACATATAACGTTATATCTTGTATTGTATAGTCTTATTTTTTGGAATTCCTGTGTATTGCTGTAGACAATAGCATAGATATTAGTTTAATATTAAGTAAAATATTCTTAAGAACTAATGCCATACATTTTGCCTGTTACAATTGTTGTGGAATAAAGTTTGATTGATTAAATGTGTATTTTGAATTTAAAGAAGAATCACAATGACACATACCTACAGTTAGTTGACTAACGGGAGCACTTTCAGCATAAATTCATGTATCTTTACAAAACATGTTTAGTACGACTGTAATGTTTTGTGTGTTTCGTTTATTACAGTGTAGGGGCCTTGGCATGGTCTGCTGTGGTTGATAGGATATTCTATGGGAAGGTATGTTGTATCATGCAGAGGAAAGAGTAACTAAAGACCTTGTAATAATGCTTCATGTTTTTCCAATAATGTTCAATTCTGTCAGTTGCAAAGCCATTTGTGTGTTATTGCAGATGTTTCAGTCTGCATATGTTACTACTAGTAACATATTATGTATGAATTAAGATTTGTCAGACAGGGCTTGAAATACTGGGTGCGTGTGCACCTTATTATCATTAGTGTATTCAATTTTGTAAGTGCACCTGTGCACAGTGAACCTGTAAGTGCACCTATTCCCAAAAATGAATTTCGAGCCCTGGTAGAAGTTTGTGAAAAATTGGTGTAAAAATTGCCAGCTATATAAATACAATGTATTGTACTTGTACTCAGGTCTTGTTTGGTTTGGTTTGAGTAAGTTTTTGAATGTTGATTTTTTTTCTCCAAGTGGGTTCTGGTTCAGTATAACTTCCTGGAGTTCAACGTTCTGAGTGACCAGGGCTCGTTCTACGGCAGCCACCCCTGGCACTGGTACCTCACCCAGGGCTTTCCTGTCGTCATGGCAACACAACTTATCCCCTTCGTCTTTGGCGCCATGAAGTTCTGGAGGAAGCAAAAGCTGGTTTTGCTCATAGTTCTTTGGACAGTGATGGTTTACAGGTTAGTTTTCTTAGCACTTAGAAAAAAAATGTTGTGTTTCCTGACTGACCCTAGAAAGAACTCCCAATCCTAGCCTTTCTTTGGGTTGGAGCCCTGCAGCTGCAAGGGACATAAATTTTCGAGCTGATTCTATGTCCATGATCTGACAGTTGAGTGATGAAACATTGAACAATCAGGTTTTCAACATTGACATTTAAAGTGTCCTTAGGCCACACCAATTTAATTTCTTGGTTAACGGATTCGCCGCTTCAATTTTTTCTGATTTGCAAATAAAAATAAAAATTCAGCATCAACTGCAAAATGCTCATACTTTGCCCTGAACAGTTGAAAACTGTCCTTTTCTTACTACTTGTTACAGTCATTCCATCTTTCAATGCAGTGGTATCATTTAAAGTTCAAAATCCATTGTTTAAATTTTGAACCAGCCTGGTGTGTTGACTTAATGGCCCCTATCGTACCATTTGGGCCATAATAGGATGCCTAGGCCTGTTTTTATTTTTACTTTTTTTTCGCCCGCTCGCTCCATTATTTTTCTAGAAAAATCCGTTAACCAAGAAATTAAATTGGTGTGGCCTTATGCAAGTTTTACTTTGTTAAACTGTATTGTATAATAAGTTGGATCACTAGTGATTGCCAAAGTCTAATAAAAAAAGAAAGAAAAAAAAAGGTAATCCTTACCTACTGACCCAATTTTTTCAAGATTGAAACAGGAAACAACATTTTTTTCCTAAGATATGCCTAAGGTATATTTAAAGTGAGAATCAGTCAGGAGTCAGGCAATGGTCAATGTTATAGGCAAATCAAACAAAGTGTGATAGGTTTTCTTTTTTATTGTGCATTTCTGACCTTTCTGAAAAGAAGCTAAATACAAATTCAAAGCAACTCAGATGATGTACACTGTAATACCATAGGGTTTACATTTATATGTTGTATGGATAATACCGCCTGTCACATGTTGTTGATAAATCTTTGATGTTTTGCAGCTGTCTTGGCCACAAGGAGTTTCGTTTCATCATGCCTGTTCTGCCTTTAGCCATGATTTCATGCGGTGAGTGAGATAAAATCTATTGACTAGTATTGTGTGGAAAGAAAATGATAACATTGTCTTTATTGTCTTTACGTTGGTGAAAGTTAGACATCCAGGTAATAAGATACATGTGTACACAAAAGAAAAAAGAAACAGTTACTCAAGCAACTTCCAAAAATCATATCCAGTTGCTTGAGTAATTTTTTGGAGGGCGTATCTTATTGTCTTTATTATATTAGCCGAATAACTAGCCTTACAGGGTTCATAAAAACATACATTGTCACATTGCACAAAATGAGATTTACATTATTTCCAAAGAAAGATATTATACAAACTAATCACAAAATTATGTAAATTTTTTTAACGGTGGATGACTTATTTTAAAAATATAGATGGACTGGATAGTGTTTCGATATTTGGTGGTAAGTTGTTCCAAAGGTTGACTGTCCGGTATATAATCTTGATACAGAAAGCTGTATTGAGTGTCAGATTACGTGACTGTTCCTTAGTTTTGCCTGCCAACTTTACATTGTTAGAGGCCTAAAATATCGGCATCTCTTGCCACGATGGCACTGAGACCAGTAAACACAGTGAAATATGCCAGCATCGAGCTGAATATGCAAATGCCAAACATTGGTTGCCACTATTCTTGGACGGGCACAGTGACCAGGAGTGTGGGGAGGGCAAGAGGCTACATGTCTGTACAGTTCATGGTTCACTGGGTTTTCTTGACTTCTAAGAAATGAAACTGTGTCTCAAGCCACAGAACATTACTGAGATGCTTGTCTTTTACCGCTTATGGCAAGTATATGCAATATACATGTACAATATATTATGATGTACAGGTCCACAGTACGGAAATTTCACTTACTAGCTTTTTTATAAGAACAACAAACAGTAGACTAAGCCTAGGAAAGTTAATGTTATGTTTCTGGTTTCAGTCCTGAAAAAAACTAGGGTCACTAGGTAGGAATTACTTTAAAAAATTTTTTTAGATTACTGCTAGAATGATCCAACAATTACAGAGTAAATTTTAACAATGCATCGGGACTGTCTGAAGGACCCAATGGCCTGATTGCTTGTGGACAAATATTACACCTGATTTACTCAAGAAAAATTGCTTATGAAAATACAT